CCCAGATAGTCAAAAAGTGGTTGTGAGATGCGTGCTATTCAGTGCACTGGTGTTAAACCAGTAGAAAATGTCAAATTGAAAGTCAAATAATTACCTCAAAATGTTTGCTGCATGTTTGAAACCAGCAACTTAAACGCTGCCGAATGATTATAAACTCAAAAAAAATCGAAATTATCATAAATTTTAAAAACTTAATAATGGTGAACTTTTCTCAGTAGCTATGTGGCGAATGGAATAAAACAGGAGATGTTTAATTTGATGCACTTATCGTAAAAAGATGATCGCAGTTGGTTAGTCGTACAACTCATTCAGTCAGTCATCTGCAAAGTATATCTCACACAAGCCACCTAAATGTTCATTGACTGTGTTATTGCATATCAGATATATTTATTAAAAGTACTGAATAACTATTTGGCCAGCCCCTTAAACTTTGCCCCTTCCCCGGTGAGGTAGATCCTTTTGCCCCCACCGCTTGGATCGGCCCCACTGGTGATGAGGATGAAGTAGGTGAGTTACTGATGTTGAAAAAGATGTGTGTGTGTGTGTGTGTGTGTGTGTGTGTGTGTGTGTGTGTGTGTGTGTGTGTGGGAATGTCATTGATCACAACTTCAATTAAAATTTAATTTAACTCTCTGAAATTAATGATAGCATGAATAAAAAATAAATTGTATGTGTGAGTTTAGCGTATTCTACACATTCCACACACCAACCATGCGAAAGTTTGAAGAAAAATATCTTAAACAAAAGGAATAATTAAAAGGAGGATGAAGAGAGAAAGAAAGATAGATAGATAGATAAATATTGATAAATAGATAGATGGATAGATAGAAAGATAAATAGATGGATAGACAGAGAGAGAAAGAGAGAAAAAAAAGAGAAAAAGAAAGAGAGAGAGAGTTGAAAAAGAGATAGAAAAAGAGCAAAAAATAAAAAACTAAAGCGAAAAATGAAAACATAAAAAATGAGTATAAAGATAAAAAGGGAAGAGAGAGAGAAGGAAAGAATGAGAGAAAGAGAAAAAAAGAAAGAGAAAGAGAGAGAGAGAGAAAGAGAAAAAAGTAAAAGAGCAAGAGAAATGCCTAAAAAAATGTTGTTTAGTGGCAGCAACAAACATAAAAAAAACTTAAACCACAAAGCTGTTTGGATAAATTTAAAATTCTCAACGCTGATTGGCTGCTGTAAATCACGTGCCTCTTTATTGATTGGCTGATAAGAATCTCGTAAATGTTGATTGTGATGGCGCGAACATTATTTTCTTATATTTGCAGTGTTTGTTTTTCGTTCTTTGTTTTCTCATTCGTGTTGTTGCTGCTGTTGTTGTTACTGTTGTTGTTGTTGTTACTGTTGTTGTTGTTACTGTTGTTGTTGTTGTTGCTGCTGCTGCTGTTGTTGTTGTTACTGTTGTTGTTGATGTTGTTGCTGCTGCTGCTGTTGTTGTTACTGTTGTTGTTGTTGTTGCTGCTGCTTCTTTTGTTGTTACTGTTGTTGATGTTGTTGTTGTTGTTGCTGTTGTTGTTGTCGTTTATCTAACATGAGTTAATATTGGTACTGTCATCATTGTCGCCATCGTCATTACATACATCATCATCATCATCATCCTTACCATCCTCATAACCATCATCATCACTTTCATCATCATCATCATCATCACTTTCATCATCAGCATCATCATCACTTTCATCATCATCATCATCATCCCTTTCATCATCATCGTCGTCGTCACTACTATCTCCATTTCTTCATCTCCAATTCTGTTCCAGGCTTCGCAGATTTTAATTTGCAGTTTGTTGTGGGTGGTGGTGGTGATAATGATGTTGTTGTGGGTGGTGGTGGTGATAATGATGTTGTTGTGGGTGGTGGTGATAATGATGATGATGTTGTTGTTGTTGTGATGATGATGATGTTGTTGCGATTGTGATGTTAGTGATGATAATGACACTGATCATTTGATGATGTATTTAGTCTTATGTCATTGTTGTTCTTATTGCAAGAAGATATTAATTTTATTTATTTGTGGTTGTTGCTGTTGGTTTGTTGTTGTGGTTGTTGCGGCTGTTGTTGTTGTAGTTGTTGTGGTTATTGTTGTTGTTGTGGTTTTCTAGTTACATATATATATTTAAAATTTTTACGTCTTCATTGGCACTGGTTGTTTTAATAAATAAGCAGCATCTGTGTTTGCTTTAAAAATTCTTTTATTATCCACAGTGCATTACGATCGTTCATTCTATGTGAGTTCTTGGT